CCAGAGCCCTGACTTAAACCCAATTGTATATAACTACTTTTATTTAAAGGATGTGAATGCGTGTGTGAAAGGTTGAGTTCAGTAAGATCTGAATATTTAAGTCATTTTTCAGTTATACATTTGCTGAAGAGCAGCAGTGAGCTGAGTTAATATTGACTACACAGTATTTACCTTAAATTTGGTAAGATTAGCCACATGCAACAAGCATTTGGTCAGGAAACCTGAAAACCATTATGTGTATATAGGGTTGAACAAGAATGAATTTTATTGATAAATAAACAGAAGATTGTTACTTCCTCTTTCAAAAGTTAGTCTCACTTGATGTACAAACACGTTCATTTTACTAGTCATAAAAAGACTGATACAACCTATAAAGTAGCATGCAAACTTGGATTAGCAAATACTGTCGCATACGTACCATACCCGCTGCATGTTTACATGTACAACAAGCGACAACTCATCACATGTAAACTAATGTGTACTGTGACTATTTTTGCCCAATTCGAGCATCTCTGTCATTTCATACATAGGTTTTGGCTATCAGCTAAAAAGCCATCAGAAAATCTCTGTTTCTTATAAAAGACACACTGGGTGATACTCAGCCTTCAGAAAGGCTTTGATGGACCAGTACACACAGGTAACCACAAGCTTCAAGTTTTATTTTCCTAACAACCACAAGCATCAGCATTGCTCTCTCCAATACAGTCTTCAACAGATGCTGCTTTTACACAGGTGAACAAAGCCCAGACCTATTTTTGTACATGTATATGTGACCGAAATTAAACAAAACAGGCTTCATGATCACCTGAGCCTGTCAAACTTCAATCAGAGTCTGCTAAGCTGCTGTCTATTCTATGCTTACAGTGCATTGTGGCAGCATTCGGACAATTAGGAACTGAATGAGACACTTAAACAGATGATAACAGGGATGTGTGAGCAGAAATTTCAGGACAAGGACAGTGCAATACCTCTCTCCTTTTCCACTGTCTCAGACGTGCTGTCTATTACTTACCCACAATGCACTGATTACTGGTGGCATAATTTGTTCAGGGGTGCCACATGTAAATATGTATTACTAATCACTTTTCTTTCTAAAAAACGCTTTTCCCTCAGACACTCTGTCCTTGGTTTCTTGCAGTTTCTCAGAAAGCTTGTCCTTAGTCTCTCCCATTTTCTCAGAGATGCGTTCTTTTGTTTCCTCCATTTTCTCTGAAAACCTCTCCTTTGTCTCCTCCATTTTGTCCTGGATGTACTCTTTAACTGGCGGCGGTGTGGATAAGTAGCCGTGCTTGCGGAGATACTGAACAGAGAGTGATGTGCCACCCAAAGTCACCGTATATCTAGCAGGGGTGGCAATCTGTAAAAACGAGACAGTCAGAGCAAAGTGAACACCTGAATCCATCCCTCAGAAATCACTTTTTCAAATGTACACTGCCAGAGATGTGACAGGCAAGTCAGGTTCAACAAAAACCTGCCAATGATGGTACTTTATAATAATAGAAGAGTTGATAATATCTGAAATTAATCAGCGAGTAAATGAAGACAACCGTTAAAAACAAAATTAAATTACCTTGTACATAGCGTACGCAGTCAGAGCATAGCCACTCGAAGAGTCTCTCAAAAGGCCAACTACTGACTCTGGTAGACCAATCATCTCCAAAAATGGCACCACGTTCACACCTCTGAAGGAGAGCACAACATGAAGAGAACTTAAGGCAAAACACATAAAATCATCTTCAGTTGTTTAACTGCACAATGTTGTAATCATGTAACCAAGGAATGCTGTCGCTGTTGCATCAGAATGACCTAACAACCCTTGCTGTGATCACTTCTTAACTTTTTGGATTACATAAATATAATCATTCCTTTTTCTTAGAGGTATAGTATGCACATTTAGTCGAGTAGACTCAAGAGACAACAGTAAATGAGTGGAGAGAGATGTGAAGAGTGACATGTCTGGATTGTACCCAGGGACACTGATCTACTGTGAGCCACTTAAAGTCTATGACACACCAAGCTGAGGGTTGGTTTTCTTCTTTCCCTTTCTGAATGGTGAATACATATACTGCCACCTGCTGGTAGAGAGAGTTAATCCTCTCATACAGGCAGAGAACTTGCATGCTAGTTGGCTGTAATCTGTGCGGTGAGTTCATGTGCCATTTTTTTTAGACCTAACTGGCCTGGACAGAGGTGACAACAGTTGGCTTAAATCGATACTAGTTCTTTCATGTTGCCTTGGTGTATCTCTGCCCTTAGGTCACCAGGGTCCACTACAGAGTTGTTGGTTAGCAGATAAAATCCAGTTTATCAAAATGACAAATCAATTTTAAAAAAGGTATTTTGAGTGCGACACGCTTGGAAGTCAAATGTAAAGCCATAAACTCAGAACACAAGGAGACTCACTTCATAGCAGCGTAATAGAAGGTTCCAAACCAGACGGAGGACGTCAGCAGATGTACAGGGATCATCACTTTCCCATACTGATTGAAGGTCTTCTTAAACCTCTGGAACAGACCGATGGTCTTGTCCTGCAGGGGGTCCACCTCTGCAGCAGCAGGCCCTGGTTCCCTTTTCTGGACCTCTTCTGTTTGAGGTGTGGAACTGGACTGTGGTTCCTCATGCGGCAGCTGGTGTTTTGGCTGATGCCCTGCCCTGCTGGAGGCTGAGGTTGAGAACAAGTGTCGCCCGCTAGGTAGCGGTTGAGACAAACGGAGGACACAGCAACAAAATGATGCTGGTGGCTCGGTGACGGTGACCCCTGCCAGCGATGGGCGCAGTGCTGCCATTCGCCACAGTCTCCCAGAGGTTGGGATGTGGTGCATCATCATCCTGCTCCTCTCCTCCCCCACCTCCTTTCAGCTGCAACAATGTTGAACCACAAACTGTGGAGTCAGACAAAAAACCTTTGTATAAATTTACTTTTTTAGTGCTTATATTCTTGTTCAGTTTGGCAATAAACTATTATTTTCACTATGAAATAATCTAGTGATTAATTTGGATTCATTCAATCATTTGGACTCTGATTTATCAGAATATAAAATGTCTTTGAGCCCTTTGTTTTGTCCCACTAAAAGGCTGTGATTGTTTTTGAGTAGCTAATTATTTTACCAGCGGGCCCCAAGAAAGCTTATTTATGCATATGCGCACTGTGATGGCCATTATATGCATTCTGATGCAAGCACAGTTTGTAAAACGTTAGGGTACATGGAAAAAACAGCAAAAGGTAATGTTGCAAAAAGGAGACGTACCTATCGAGCAGATAAAAAAGGAAGAAAACTAGGGATGAGAAATAACATCAAGATAAAGGTATGTTTGCGTGACTAATTACAGTATTATACACCAGTGAAAATACACAGAGCAGGCATAAAAAGTACTGTCCACCTTGCCAGTCATTGTAATGTTACAGATGTTATCCTTTGTTACCGTCTTGGTGATTTCTAGTTGGAAAACAAGGAAGCTGTTTCTTACACTGGCAACTTATACTGTATATGGTATTATTTTAGACAAATACTAGCTACATGCCAGTGTGTTACTATATTATACAGTGACTGTAGCCTCGGCTAATGATAAATACTGAAACCACCATGTTGTGTCAGTAGTATTCCTTCAATTTATACTAGGCCCAACAAGAACAATCGGAGCAGAATGTGCCGTTCAGTACTGATTTATTATGGCCTTCAGTTATTTTTACATCCGGGTCACAAACAGTACCCAACTACCCCAACAGATGTCAGTACAACCCACATGCACAATACATGACATATTCCTCCCCACGTAAAGATGATACCTAACTGGAGTGGTAACCTAACACAACACAACATAGGCTTCACATAACCACGAAATCCATTCAAGGAGATACAAAAAAAAAAAACTAGTAACTCATTACAACTTCCAACTTAGTTACTTTCACAGATTAACATTAACCAACAACAAAGTCCAGTTGTCACTACTCTAAGGGAATGAGGTGGACTACTCAAACCCTGACATTACCCCGGGGATTATTCTGCCCCATATTTAGGTAAGTCCGTAGTTAAAAATTCATACGCACGGGTGGTCGCCGTTCTCTCTGAGGATATCGGCGAACAATGCTGTCAAAGGGCGGCTCCCCAGCAACAGGAATGGAAACTGGTATGGGAGGTGCTGACAGTTCAGTATCGGGAACAGCCACAGGAGTGGGACTGGACTGGGTCTGTCCCCAAGCAGACGGTGTAGGGCTGGCATGTTTGTATAGTTCAGTATCACCTTCAGGGGGGTCCACAGGCGTCCTAGGTCCATGCAGTAACTGATCCGTATGTCTGCGCCAGACAACATTTTCAGGGGTCTCAACTGTGTAAGACACAGGACCGGTCTGTGCTATGACCTTAGCAGGAACCCACTTCTGTTTGCCATGGTAGTTTTGTGCTAACACCTGGTCTCCAGGATGAAAGATCCTCTCTCTTGCCCGCAGGCTACGTCTCTCAACTTGTGCTTGTTGTTTTTGCAAAACAATGTCTTTGGTCTGGGGTGGTTTCAGTAGATCAAAAAAGGTGCGCAACTTCCTTTTTATGAATAGTTCAGAAGGAGCAACCTTGGTAGTGGAGTGCGGGACATTTCTGTATGACAGCAGAAAGTTATTCAGTCTCTGGTGAAGTGAGCCTTGTTCCTGTGATGCCTTCAAGGCCTGTTTCATACTCTGGATGAACCTCTCAGCTAGTCCGTTAGTAGATGGATGATACGGAGCCGAGCGGATGTGTTGTATTCCATTTACATCCAGAAATTTCTCAAACTCCGGTGAAGTGAACTGGGGGCCATTGTCACTCACCAGTTGTTCAGGGAACCCAAATCGGCTGAACATTTCACCAAGTCTCTCGTGGTGGATCTTATAATGCACACTTCCGGCCATTTACTATGTGCATCCACAGCTACCAGAAACATCTTATCCTCGAATGGGCCGGCGAAATCAATATGAACACGTTTCCTCTGGCCACTCCCACGGGTGAAGTGGAGCAGGCTGTGGCATGTTGCGGAATTTCTGGCATGAAGGGCAGGTCCTTGCAGTTTCTTCAATTTGCTTGTTAAGTCCTGGCCACCAGAAGTAACTTCTGGCAAGCTCTTTCATGCGGACCATCCCACAGTGTCCATGATGTAGTTGCTGCAACACCCTGTTCTGTAGAGTGGGTGGAACAAGTACCCTTTGTCCCCACAGAAGACATCCTGCCCGCACTGATAGCTCATGCAGTTTTTTGTTGTATGGCTGAAACTCCGGGAGCCTGGTACTTCCACCATTAGTGACTACATCCATCAGCTTAGAAAGTACAGGGTCATTTCTGGTGTGCCGACTCACTTGCGAAGATGTGATTGGTGCACCCTCTACCTGTCGAAAGTAGAAAATCTCAGCCGGGCGTGGTTCCACATGATCCACTGGGAGGGGCAACCGAGAGAGACCATCAGCATTTCCGTGTAGTTCTGACTTCCGATATCTAATCTCATATGTGTGAGCAGACAGCAGTAAGGCCCACCTTTGCATCCTACTTGCAGCCAGGGGAGGGATGCCAGTATGGGGACCCAATATTGTTGTGAGAGGGCGGTGATCTGTTAAGAGAATGAACTTCCTTCCAAACAGATACTGATGAAACTTTCGAATGCCAAAAATGATCCCCAAAGCTTCCTT